ACCACCCTGATCACAGGCAGAATCGGATCCACACTATACCCTCTTCTATGGCGCGCCCCTGCTCTTTACCGTACTAGAGCGGAAACGCGTACCAAAAAGGAAGGTGCTGTGCTGGGCCGCGAGTTCACTGACCCGTCAGCGTGAAATGCTTACAACATGGGCAAATACAATACATGAACCAGATTCAAATATCAGTACCTCGTAGCCCTTTCAGTCCTGCACTACGTATCTTCCGTGAATCCTCGCCGTACGTTGCATGACACATTTGAGAAAATTTTGAGATGAAGAAATCATATTGACGATGATACGACGGACTGCTTTCTTCGATATTTGAGAAAGTAACGAAAGAGTCGGTCGCCAATTGCTAGAAACACGATCAATAGTGTTTTCGTTATGATAACTGCCCTTTAATTCCACAGTTTGCGTTTTGAAAGTCATCACAAGAATGCTGAGTTACGGGAAAAAGTCACCCATGTAAGTCAAGTCGAACTCGTACCTCACAGTTACAGAGCAAGCGCGCTAATCACTACGCATAATGGATAGTGCACTCACCGAGAGAGAGGTGCGGGTTCAAGTACCGCCCAGCGTCAGAACTTTTGCCCAGAACTCAGCATTCTTGTGAGAACAACACAATTTTCGTATAATGTTGCACGTAATTTCCGTGCGCAATACATTTGAGCACGATGGCGCAGTTCGGCGACGAGGGGGCATTTCCGCTTACACATGCTTCAACTACTCCGCTACAAGTCTCACTTTGTAAACTTGGAACTCTGATAACTTGGAGCCAAGATAGTTATCACTATGGCTGAAAACTGTCAACTCAAGAAAAGGCATCTAGATAGGGTAAGACATCATCGATGGGAGCAAAAATGCCCCCCCCCCCTCCGTTTCGCCGAACTGGGCCGAACACGACTTACAAAGGCGTCGCCGTGAAATAGGAAGAAACTCACAAAAAATAGATAGACAGGATGTATGACAAACAGCAATTACCTCCATCTTCGGATTATTCGACTCCAGCAGTTTTTGCACCATCTTCAGTGATTCCGCGCCTAAATTTTGCAAGCCTGGGCGAGCTATGGCAGGACTGCAGCAACTGATCCATCGCTTCGACAGCAATCTGAATAAGTTTTCATTTGATGATAATCACGTCGTTCCCCCTCCCCCCCATATCCTGCACGATTCACCGACTCTTTTTGTCGGCAATCGAAACAATCAATAAAATACCTTTCCTTTCATGCAATTCTCCTTATCTCCCAAAATCAGGATGTCAATTCGGATGCCAGTAGAAGATAAGGATGAGATCAGATGTTTCAGCTACGTCTCCAATTTCCCGTCAGTGCGACCACTAGACATTAATAAACGTTCCAAAATTTAATGTCGCCGGGAGGGCGGGGGGGGGGGCACCGTACCTAACAGGCGAAACAATCATCACTCAAATGAAAACCTACGACCCCAACGATCAGGTATCGATCCCCCTGATTCTCTACCCTGTGGATCAGGTAAGACTTGTTGTATCAAACCCTTTGCGGAGGTAGTAATGGGAAACTGCGGAGGGGCGGGGGTCGTATTTGGTCGCTGGTGGGAGAAGGTCGGATGTGCCTTCGAGAGAAATTTGCCGCGTTGGGAAATTTTTCCCGGTTGTTGACTTTTCGCGCTTTTTCTCCGTTTCACAACGGCTACATATCTTCCCCCCCTCGCTCGACGAAAATTTTTGGGGAAAAAGTAGCAAATTTTCGGGAAGTTCCGGAAATAGGAAGCTGGGAACAGTAGGAAAGCGGGTGGTGAGTGTTGGGGGGGGGGGGGGGACGGGAGGAGCTACAAGAGACAAAGTAAACTGGTTCAAAAATTAAAAGTTCCCCATTTGAATAGAATCAAGAAGTTTTCAAAAAGGAGGAAAACAAATTTAGAAGGAATAACTCACTTTAACCTGAACCAATCGCATTCGTCCAAGATCTCTGCTCATACGTAAAACCAAGTACTCGCCAATTCGTTCGAGTTTCTCCGGATGAGAAATCGCGTAGAAGATGAGCTTTTGCATATTTGACGAAATGAGCCCATCGGTAATCGCACGTGGATAAATCGAATCCACCAGACGACGATATCTGCAACAGTACCACATTGTGTCAGTGCCCGTGTTTTAGACGTTCGGCTGAATTTACATTATGTGCTATTGATTGCGTGGGCCAAGTTCTCACGCTGCTTTTGCTCAATGCGTTCAATAGATTCAATGGTGTCAAGCTATATTGCTGAATCACTAGATCATTGATTGAAGAATACTGGATTGGGTCCAAACTTTATCAAATTAATTTGGTGAGGGCAGGGGGAGGGGGAATAGCATGGATTTTATAATCTCGAAAGTCCTCTCGAAAAATTAGTCCTCCCTGGTCTATGGGCGGAGTCAGGCCCACAATAGTGTGTTTTTCACTGGAGTGACTCTCAATTCCAAGAAGATGGTGAACTCAAGGGCACGATAAGGATGAAGCCACAATGGTAGGCTGGTTCAGCTCAAGCGACCAGCGCAGAGTCAGCCCTTAACCGGAAATCCAGGCCAAACATTCCGCCCGTGAAGAAGCGTGAGCCGTCTCCCAGAAGGGCCAAGCGAGGGTACCATCTTGAGCGCCAAAACAGGACAGGTTTATAGCCGATGTTACCTCTCAACCGTAAGACGATCACGCGATCAGTTCGTATCGAAGCTCACGTCC